GTCCCCCGGCCCACCCCTGCGATGGCGGCCTTCTGCATCATGCATGTATCGTGGCAATGAAAGTTACCTACTTCCGATTCCTTTTCCATAGGCCAAATGTGATATTTGCACGGAGTCAGATTTTTTTTTTTTAAAGTAAAAAGTGTCCCCCAGACGTGGGGTCGAACTTTCCACCCATAGACCAAGAGCCCCGGAGTCAGCTCTCCGTACACACCCTGGGGTCCTCAGTCAGTCGCCTGCACGCAGAGCTGACAGGGTCTCTCCGGTCCCCCTGCCCAGCCTGGGTGACCCCAAATGCCATACATAGAACACACGTCAAACACGCAGGGTGGACGCGGGATAACTATTTCCTGTGATGAAAAGCGTTAAGGTCGTCGGCTGGGGCCCTCAGAATTAGACTGACAGAGTAAACACGTTAATGAGAGAAGAAGATGACTACCACCCGGACAAAACACCCCGAAGAAAAAAACCACCTGACGAACAACGCCAGGATTCGGAGCAGCGTAACAAGGCATTTGTAAAGAAGGGACAAGAGTGAAGGGTTCCGGGCTTCCAAGGGTGGCGAGCTGGGGCGAGGTGCACGTCCGCGGGCAGCTTACAGGGGTCATTCGTGTAGGTCCATGGGGGTGCCCACTTTCTGTGTTCTTCAGGCCTTGGAACTTCCGTGGGAGAGGGGAATGGGGCGCTTCTTATTTCTCATTAGCGCCTGCCTCTAGTCAGATGAGGGGAGCTCAGGGAAGGCCTCTTTCTGCATCTGCTGATGCATCTGCAGCTCAAAATACTCTTCATGCCAAAGTGGCAGCTGTTGGAAGCCTTTCTGGTCCTACTGGTCTACTGTTGTTTCAAAAACAAACTAGTTTGTCACAGACTTATGGACAATACTCAGATTTTTTTCATCACTGCCCATCTAATCCCAAAACATTTTTTTTTAGGCTTCTATTTATTTATTTGACAGAGAGAGACACAGCGAGAGAGGGAACAAACATTTTATGTGAATCCATTTAGAATATGATCTGGAGAGAAAGGGAAGTGGTTCGGAACGCAGCCTGATGATCTGAGAGTTCTGCCTGTTTGTGGGGAGGCATTCTCTTATTTAATGCTTTGGGCTCAGTGTGGTGGGAATTCAAGACACCCAGAGCCCGGCAAATGTCCTGCTGTCTTGTGGGTGTTCATGAAATGTAATTCTGAGCAATAATCCAGATCATCACCCACGCTGATTCTGCCTCTGACCTGGAAGTGGGAGTCTTCCATTTTCTGGATGGTTCTAGAGGCAGATGACGGAGAGCCTGTGCAGCCTCTTTGCCCCGGCCACCCAACACTTGTCCTTAAATAGCAACCGCTGAATCTCTCACCTGGAGGGTGCAGAGGGAAGGGGAGAAATGCCGGGTGATACCTTTTAGTCTGTCTTGGGAAGTGAGGATGCCATACAACACAATTTGGATTCTGCTGGTCCTAAAAGACGTTGGGATATTGTGATTGGAACCTCTGATCTACTACCATATCAGTCAGAAGCACCGGTGACACCTGGACTGGCAATTGGCATCTGAATTTGGGAAAGGTCTTGTAGGACTGAGCCCTTAACCTGTGGTGTCTAACACGATCCTTGGGAAGAATTCACTTACATTGTACAACACGCAGCTGGTATCACAGAGAATGGCTTGATGTGGGGGAAAAGCCCACACCGGAATCTGGAGCAGACCTAGGGGCTATGAAACAATCCTTACTATTCCTTATTTCCAGAAATCTCTCATGCACACATTTTCTCTCTCTTTTTAAACGTTTATTAGTTTCAGAGGTAGAATTTAGTGATGCATCAGTTGCATTTAACACCCAGTGGTCGTTACATCAAGTGCCCTCCTTAATGCCCATCACCCAGTTACCCCATCCCCACCCACCTCCTCTCCAGCAACCAGCAGTTTCCTACAGCTAAGAGTCTCTTATGGTTTCCCTCCCTCTCAATTTTCGTCTTCTTTTATTTTTCCTTCCCTTCCCTATGTTCATCTGTTTTGTTTCTTAAATTCCACAAATAACTGAAACCATATAATTGACTTTCTCTGCTTGACTTATTTCACTTAGCATAATCTCCAGTCCCATCCATGTTGATGTCAAAGTTGGGTATTTATCCTTTCTGATGGCTGAGTCATATTCCATTGTATATATGGACCGTACCTTCTTTATCCATTCACCTGTTGAAGGGCATCTCGGCTCTTTCCACAGTTTGGCTATTGTGACATTGCTGCTATGAACATTGGGGTGCAACTCATGCACACATTTTCAAACGGATGGCTACTACGCCTTGCTCATTCTGTATGAGTGGAAATTTTGAAGCTTTTGTGTTTTCCCCAAATAGTGATGCAACAAACATTTCTCCAAACCAAACCAAGCCAAATCAGGAATGGCTTTATTTCCATGTTGGGTTATTTTAATAGTACATATTTTGAAAAAAGGAATTCCAAAAGGTTATGAAAAATCTGAAGGTCCTTACTACATATTCCTACATTGTCTCCCAGAAGCAATATTTGCAAAATCCACTTTTGGGGAGTCTGTTAACTTAATAGTGAAGAAAAGTTTTCTTTTATGTTCGTATTTCTTAGTAACTGGTCAGTGAGGTTTTTTCCCCCCACATCTATGTTGTGAACAAAAGATTCAAAGCAGCTGTGTCTTGATTTCAAAAAGGAAAGAAAATTCTATTATAGAAACCTGATAGAAGAAAAGAATCTACACATCTATGTAATAGTAGGCAACAAATGCAAATTAGGCAAAGTAACAACATATCAGGCACTTACAACATCCAACCTCATCAGCTGGGGGTGCCCCGTGGAGACAGCCAGGCTAGAGTCCCGACTGAGGCCTCAACAGAGCATCCTCCCCATCAGGTGAGACTTGCAACGGACCACCGTCCCCATAAGGGCCCTATTTATAGGGCAGATGATGGGCTCTGAAGTCAAACATCTGTTCGCCTAGGAGAAGCGAGCGGAATTTCCATGTTTTCGTGTTTCTGATGGGGTTTTGTAAGTGAGGGTCGATGGGGTGAGGTCCGGAGCTGACAACCAAGAAAGAATTCTTGAGACATCTGTGGTGTAAAATGGTGGTTTTATTAAAGCACCAGGACGCGGGCCATGGGCAGAAAGAGCTTGCTGCCCTGGGGGTCTTATAATTGGCTGATTATATACCTAGCAGCTGGGGGAGGTAAGGAAAGGGAGGTTTCAAAAGGATTTTTGTATGTTAAAGAAGACTCACAGGATACGGGAGGCCTTGCCATTGTCAAGCTAAGGTTGTTTTTCCCTCTAGTAAGGCATTAACAGTGAGATAGTTGGGAGCTTCCGGGAGGAACATTACACTTTGCCTGCTTCAAGTATCTGTCAATGGGTTGTAGGTTATAAGGACATTTCCTCATATCCTTACATTGTATCTAGGTTTCCTTCTGGAAGCTAGACCATTGATAGAAACGCGATGTTCTTGTAAATTGCTAAGACTTTTGTAAAGGGAGGGAGATCCCATGTCTTGCAGGATTGTGATCTCTGTAAGTTAACTGTTTTTCCTTTAGGGCAGCCAGGAGTGTCTTGAGGAATGTCACATATGTCCCATGGTGGGGGGATATGTGGGGTGTCAGGTTCTGCCTGTCCTCAGCTAGCCTTCTGCTCCCTCATCATTTCTGTATTTTCAAGGAGCCTAGGCTAGGTGTGACTGCCTCCCCTCCCGGATTCCATCCTGGGGGGCAGGCTCAGCCTGGAGCAGAAGGGGATATGAGAAAAGGTTTACAGCTCTTGGCGTGCAGACCAGAAGGGCCAGTTCTGACCTGGAGGCCAGATGATATATTTTAAATAACCAGGCTCCCAAGGTTATTCACACAGTCTCACAAACAACATTCCTTAGCCCGACTGTGTGTGCAGGTCCTGGTGGCCGGTTCTGAGGGACACATCACAGAAACACCTAGACATATACAACAATCCATTCAGCACTTGCGTTTTCCTGTGAACTGACAAATCCTATGGTGCGGGGGTGTTATTTCTCCAGTAAATTTTTCTATACCAAATTTTATGAACTCTTTGTGTATTTGTGGCTCAAACTTTGCGAGTTTGGCTATTTACCTTTATTGTTGATTATTGTTGGACTCACTGAATATCTTGGAATTTGCTTCCTCCCTTTCTCTGTCTTGCTCTCTTTTCTCTCCCGAGTTCTTCTTAACTTACCCAACGGATCAGGTATGCTGGGCTTGACGCCCCTTTCTGACCATTACTCCACAGAACTAACCTTAGTTTACCAGTTACACTGCCCGTTTACCGCATTCTCAGGTCTGTGCCAAAATTTTATTATTATTATTTTTTAAAGATTTTATTTATTCATTTGACAGAGACAGATACAGCGAAAGAGGGAACACAAGCAGGGGGAGAGGGAGAGGGAGAAGCAGGCTTCACGCTGAGCAAGGAGCCCAATGCGGGGCTCGATCCCAGGACCCTGGGATCATGACCTGAGCCGAAGGCAGATGCTTAACAACTGAGCCACCCAGGCGCCCCTGTGCCAAAATTTTAAAAAACACATAAAACTGGAAGCAATGTAACTCAGAAGATTTTGCATTCGCCTGGAGTAACAGGCTAATTTTTTAAGATTTAAAAAGTATGTAGTGCTAAATCATAGTGATTTTTTATTTTAACTGCGTGCTTGGTCGTCTTCAAAATAACTCCCCCCTAAAGAATCGCGAAGAAAAGTCCTGGGGCCGGTAGCTCTGGGTCTCACGGGACAGCTTCCGTCCCCCGCCTCCGGATTCCTCCAGCCGGGGATGCGCGGGGCAGCGGACCGGAGGCCTGTCCCCGGGGGACGGGTGGGCGGGGGGCGAGCGGGACGGTTCAGGCGAGGAGGTGCGTGCGGGCCGAGGGTTCGCGGGGAGGGCCCCCCCGGAGGCCCTTTGCAGCCCCGCCCCAACCCCGCGGGGGCGGGCGCTCCTCAGCTCAGGTCCTAGCAGCTTACAAAAGACCTCTAGAATGGAGTCTTCATATAACGGTAAAACAGTTTCCCTCTCGTCCACAGAGTCATTTACGGGGTAAGTGACAATCCTGGTAAGACTGCAGGGTGCGAGGATGTGGGCCGGCCGGCCGACGGGAGTGTGCAGTGCACCGCTGCCAGGACCTTTCGAGGCGAGCTTCCCGGCTAGGACCCGGGAAGGGTGGCGCGCGCGCACCCCTGCCAGGACCTTACGCGGGGAGCGCCGCTGCCAGGATCCCAGAGCGTGAAGCACACCGCTGCCAGGACCCTGCGTGGAGCGCACCGCTGCCAGGACCCTGCGTGGGGCGCCCCGCCGTCCCCGCCGCCATCCTTGTCCCCGGCCTCGGCTCTCCGGCCGTCCCCGCTGTCCGCCGCGTCTCGGGCCCGCCTCGCCCGCACGCCCTGGTCACCGTCCCTGCGCCGCGTCCTCGGCCTCGCCCGCCCTCCCCGAGGGCCCCCGCAGCCGCCGCCCTGGCGCTCCCCGCGGGCCCCGCCGAGGCCGCCTGCGCCCTGTGCCAGCGCGCGCCCCGAGAGCCGGTGCGCGCCGACTGCGGCCACCGCTTCTGCCGGGCGTGCGTGGTGCGCTTCTGGGCTGAGGATGACGGGCCCTTCCCGTGCCCCGAGTGCGCCGACGACTGCTGGCAGCGCGCCGTGGAGCCCGGCCGCCCGCCGCTCAGCCGCCGCCTGCTGGCGCTCGAGGAGGCGGCCGCGGCGCCCGCGCGCGACGGCCCGGCCTCCGAGGCGGCGCTGCAGTTGCTCTGCCGCGCCGACGGGGGCCCGCTGTGCGCCGCCTGCCGCATGGCCGCGGGGCCCGAGCCGCCCGAGTGGGAGCCGCGCTGGAGGAAGGCGCTGCGCGGCAAGGTGCGCGCGGGCGGCGACCTGTGCGCGGCCCGTCCCCATCCCCAACCCGGGTCCCCGCCCCCGGACGGTGCCTTCTCCCTCCCTTCCCCCGCCCCCAGACGGTGCCCTGACTCCCTCCTCGGCCCTCAGCTGGTGTCCTGTCCCCCATCCCTCAACCCGGGTCCCCGCCCCGAACGGTGCCTTCTCCCTCCCCTCCCTCGCCCCCAGAGGGTGCCCTGTCTCCCCTCCTCCGCCGTCAGCTGGTGTCCTGTCCCCCATCCCCAACCCCGGTCCCCGCCCCTGGACATGGTGCCCAGTCCTCCCTTCCCCCCCCCCCCCCCCACTCTCTGACGGTGCCCTGTCGTCTCTCCAATCCGGGTCCCCTTCCCCGGATCATGCCTTGTTCCCCCTCACCCATCCCTAGACTGTGCTTTGTCTTCTCTTCTCATTTGCCAGACGTTGCCCTGTCCCCCACCTCCCCCTCCCCTGGACAGTGTCTTCTCCCCTTATCGCCGGTCCCCATCCCTGGTCCGTATCCTTTTCCCCCACCTCCCACACATCCCCATGTTACATTTTCGGACCCCTCCCCCCACCTGAAGACAGTGTTCCTCTGCCGACCCCGCCCCCATGCCGCGCCCCCAGCACCTCATTGCCCAGCCTCCGGGCCTGACGTCACCCTGCAGCAGCCCCACCCCCGCTAGCTCTGCCCCCCACCCATCCTGTCTGGTGGACCAGGCAATGAGCCTGGCTCTCAGCTGCTGAGGTTCAGTGCGTCCCCCTCCCTTCCCCCAGACCGCCTTCCCACTCCCTCTCCGCGACCCCCACCCACTCGACATGGAAAGCTTCGTTGTGCTCTCGACCCTGCGTAGAAACCCGCTATTGGAGGCCGTGGTTGTAGCTGGGGCCTGGGGACCCCCATGGTGGTGGGGTCACAGAGGGAGTAAAGACAGGGCAGAGACAATGTGTGTGGTCCTGCCTGCCCTAGGGAAGCCCGGGGAGGGAAGCATTCTGTCAGGTGGTGGGTCCTGGGGTCCCCGTGGGCACTGGAGGTGGCTGGACAGGAGCTGGGGTCTGCTCCTGCTGGGGGGCCCTAGATCTAGGGTCAGTGCACCCTTGAGAGGCCACTTAGCATCACTCCCTTGGTGACATAACAGTAGGGACCGCAGAGCCTGGTCTTTGTCTAGTTGCCTGGTTGTAGTCTTAGCAGGTGTCTCCTATCAGAGTTCCTTCTGGAGAGAGCTTAGTGGGGTTGCTGAGACCCCCTCTGGTGCCTTTGGTCTGCTTGTGCAGAACCGAAAGGCCACGGGCACAGGCTGAGTCTGCCCCCAACTGGGCTAGGGCACCCTGGAGCTTCCGACCGTATGCCCACTGGTAACCAGCGTGCCTTTCCAGGAGAACAAGGGGTCTGTGGAGATCATGAGAAAAGACCTGAACGACGCCCGGGACCTGCACGGCCAGGCCGAGTCTGCTGCGGCAGTGTGGAAGGCAAGTGGCGGCAGGCCTGCAGTCGGCCCGAGGAGGGGACCCTGACCCCATTTGGGCGGCTGAGTGCCATGCACCGAGCAGCACACCCTTCTCCCCCAGGTGGGCAGCGGTGGGGGCGGGAGGCCCCAGGGTGTATCCAGGGGACACAGGTGTCCCTCCCCGCCATCTGCCTCCCTGCTTTGCAGGGACACGTGATGGACCGCAGGAAGAAAGCCCTGACCGACTACAAGAAGCTCAGGGCGTTCTTTGCCGAGGAGGAGGAGCGTTTTCTGCAGGAGGCGGATAAAGAGGAGCGGTCCCCGGAGGGTGAGGACGCTGACCCGGCCGAGCGCTTTGGGTGCCTGCTGTCAGAGCTGGAGAGGAGGCACCGCAACCTGGGCCTCAGCATGCTGCTGCAGGTGAGCACTCCACTGTGTCCGGACCCCAGGACAGGGTGCGGGGCAGCCCGGGGGGATGGAGGGCCTCAGACCAGCCGCCTCACTGGCCTCCACACAGCCCCTCACCTGGAGATCTGGCAGCCCCTGTCCGCCCTCCTGAGGTCCCCAGGGTGCCATTCTGATTCTGGAAAGGCTGAGTAATCTGCTCCAAGGCGGGGGAGTGGACGTGATAAGCTCCAGCCTGGGTGAGATGTGTGGGGCCGGTGGGGGCCGGGTCCAGCACGGCAGCTGCCTCTCCCCCCCTTCCGCCATGCAGTGATGTCCTGCCCCCTGAGCCGGCTCCAGGCTCAAGAAGCTCCATCCACCCTGGCCTGGCCCCCAGCAGCTCCTCCATGGCCGCCTTCTGGACACACAGCATCCTTCATCCACGAGGGTGTGCACCTAGGTGCACACGCAGGACGCATACCACAGGTGCCCACCTTGGGTTGCTCGAGACGGTGTCCCTGTTCCTTTATCCTCCGGGTGTGGATGTTCCCCAGGCTGTACACGTTTCACCGTAGAGACCTGTAGCAGGGTATTGTTAACCCCGGGGTATCACGACTCTTCATAAAGCTCTTGTCGTTGCCACCGAGTCTTACTGGCCTGGCGTCTCTGGGGCCGTGGTTGTCCCTGGGCAGCCTGCATCGTCCAGACTGGCCCTCACCCCGTGGAAATGCCACTCGGGCTGGTCCGCTGGACACGCAGACCCCCGCGTAGGCGTCGGGCATGTGCACTAAGGGTATGTTTGGGGTGTACGTGGAGGGAGAGGGACGCTCCCAGCGTCTGGGTGGGGAGGGCGGATGGGCAGGTCAGTCAGACCTGTCTCTGGCTTGAGCCTGCACACAGCCCGCACCTACACCTGCACCTCTGGCCCGGGGTCCGTGTCCTCGGGGTTCCGTCACCCCTGTCGCCTGGTGTGTGTGCTCAGGTGTGCTGCTTCCTCTCTGCACCGGCTGCCCCTCTGGGGCCGTGGTTTTCCCCAGGGACCTGCCTTATCCTCAGCCTCTGTGCACCGCCTCCCACGTGCCCGCCCTTGGCTGACCTGGGTGTTTCCTGGGGACACCAGAGGAACTGTGTGGGGCACGGGTCACCCCCAGGCCTGGATGCCGAGTTTCCTCTCTCTCTTTGCTTCACATTCCCTCTGATAGACTGGTGTACTGAGTCCCCGACTTGCCGTCAGCTCGTGTTGTAAATTTGTGCAAGCGAGGGCAAAGAAAGCCGTGGGGACGAGCGTCCCGCAGTGGTGACACACGGGGCCACTAAGGACACTTGAGTCTGGGAGTCGGACCACACTGTGTGGACTTAAGATCCACGGTGCCTTTCCAGAGGAGGTCTCCCAGCGCCGTTTTCTGTGAGTTTGGGGGTGGCGTGCCTGGCACGTGGCCGGCACTCACGAAGCCCCGCACAGAGGGCTTGCTTCAGCTGGCGTCCCTCCTGTCTGTCTCCCTCGCGGCCCAGCCAGTGTCCAGGGAGGCCCTGTGTCCAGGCTGCAGCATATAGGGGCCTCCTGTAGATGGGACTTACCCTGATGGGCCCCACGCCTCTACCGAGTGACATGGGGGAGACTTGCTTAGGCGGAGGCCAGCTGCAGTCCTGCCTCCTCCCTGGGGACCCGTTCTCTGTGGGCAGACCATGTGACCATGGCCACGTAACCCTGATTAGTCCTGAGCCCGCCGAGTCAGGGGCAGTGCTAGGGGCGTCCCTGTTCTAGATGGGGGTGGAGGATGGGGGCAGGCCCCCGCGCAGCAGGCCAGGAACATCCCAGTGCTGTTGGCTGTTGACTCCAGCCACCTCCACTGCCCATTCGTCCACTGCCCCAAGCGCCAGGGGTGGAAGCGCCCCACCGGCCTTCAGACCTCGAAACCCGGGCCCCACCTCTGCTCCCAGCCGGCCGGCGGTGCCCCTCCATGAGCCCCCAGTCCCCGTGGAATGGTGTCGCTCCTCCAGGTGTCTGCAAGCCCGTGCACAAATGGCATTTTACAGAACCAGCGGGCTGTCTTCACAAGCTCCGGCCCCAGGAGGCAGCCCCGCAGGGTTCTTGTGAGCGCCCTGCGGCGCCTCGCTGGTGCTGGGGCGCGTCATTCTGCGTGTCCCAGCTGGGCACAGGGCCACGAGGGGATGGAAACCAGGCTGGGCTCTGCGCGGACGCGGAGCAGTGTAGATTCGTCCACTGCAAGATCTGGGGTGCTTACGGTTCCTTCCTTCCCAGCCCCGATGCGTTTCCCTCCGGTTCCCATTATCCCTCCTGGTGCAGTGGGGCCGTCTGGGGTGTTGGGGCCTGCGGCCTGTGTTTGGTTTCAGGGTCCTGAGTGCAGGGGAGCAGGGTGACATGCCGAGGGTCCTTCCACGCTGCGTGGAGGGGCTGTGTCATGCGGCGGGGCGCAGCAGCTTAGGGAGGGATGCACGCGCCTGTGGTTCCAGAGACCTGCCCAGAAGGCCAGCCAGGTGAGGCTGCAGTGCTAGGCCTGGAAGTGAGAGCCCCAGGGCGTGTGAGTCAGGATGTGGTGCGGGGCTGTGGGCTGGGGCCTCTGTCAAACTAAACAGGAGCCTCAGGCCAGCTGGGAGGTGAGGGGGACCCCGTACTCAAGACCCGGCCCCTGTGGCTCAGTGATGTGCCAGAAGAGCTCCCAGAGCTCACTGCAGGCGGTCGTGCCCGCGGCCACTGTGTGTCCGGGAGGGGAGGGGCGTTACTGTGAGCCACAGGGAGAGGTAGGGGGCTGAGTCCAGGACAGGTGCCAAACACGGACGTGCCATGGCGTGGGGACTGTGTTGCTTCCCTGGGCTCAGCATGTGACCACCCCCGTGGAGCGGGGCCCACCGGGAGATCCCTGATGGGGTCTGTGGAGCTGGCTCGCTGACTCCACACTGACCTCAGGAGGCCCCGCGGAGGACCAAAGAAAGCCCCCACCCCGTGTGACAAGGGCGGACCCCTTGGAGTGGCCAGATGCCGAAGATTGAGGGCGTGATGACGGAGGGCCCAGTGACCCCACTTGGCAGATGCTCCACTCCACAAATGTCCTCTCCAGGCCCACCGGGCGAGGTGCACCCGGGCACTCAGTGCACTATCGTCGTGCGGGGGCGAGAGCAGGCAGGGCAGACACCAGTGAGGGACAGCCCCGTGGGGGATGGAAGCCACAGGGCAGGCCACAGCCCTGGGGACGCACACGAGCTGGACACAGGGTGACTTGCATGGCTTAGGGCGCCGTGCTGGGTCATGAAAATAAGCAAGCGGAATATAAGACAGCACGACTGACCTACATTTCAAACGTGTGCACGCAGAACAAGTCATGGTTGCAGACACTCCAAGCTGATCAGTGGCACATGCTGTCTGTGGGGAGGGGGATGTGGTTAAAGGGAATAACAGCAGAGCAGAAGAAAAGGAGCCAAGGTGGGGCGCCTGGGCGGCTCCGTGGTTTGGGCCTCTACCTTCCGCTCGGGTCATGCCCCCAGGGTCCTGGGGTCCAGCCCTGTGTTGGGCTTCCTGCTCAGCAGGAGCCTGCTTCTCCCTCTCCCTCTGCTGCTCCCCCTGCTTGTGCTCACTCTCTCTGCCAAGTAAATAATTTTTTTTTTTTTTTTTACTTTTTAAAGAAAAGGAACCAAGGTGACAGAGTAGGGACTGCGGGTGGAAGGGGGGAAAATGGGAGTCCCTAGCTCAGGACTTCACGCCAGGGAAGACGGTGGGGTTGCAGGGAAGCTTAGGTCCCCTTGGGATTTCTGTAAGTAGTGGCTAGTTAGTTCTGTAAGGAGCGCCCGATCTGTGTGTGCGTGTGTGTGCGTGCAGGGAGCCTTTGCAGAGCAGTATGACCCCTGAGGAGGTTGGGGGCTTCCATACACGAACATAGAATTCGGATTCCCGTGTGCGAGTACACTGGCTCAGTCCTACAGCCTCAGCGGGGCTCTGGTCACCGCGTCGGTCAGATCGCCGGGGACCCTCCTCTTGACTCCCCAGTTGGACATGCCTGTTTTCTCAGGGGAGGCCCCACACAAACTAGGGTTCCTTTGAACGGAGGAAGGCGGAAAGGCAGCTCTGGGCGCCCGGGAGCCCCCTCAGACAGGGGGTCATCAGAGTTGAGGTGCTTCGTTGCCTCATGCTGCACACGTGATTTAAATGAGACGAAGACCCTGAGGTCTCCCCCACTCCCGCCTGCCTTATTTTTGAAGATACTTTTTTGGACTCAGGTTTTATGAAACCTTCTTTCATGAAGAGGGACGCACTAGTGGGCCATTCGACCTGACAAGTATAAAACCATTTAGAAATGAGGAAATGTCAGTTAAAACGCCCTCAGCAGCACAACAGATGATGGAGTAGGTCACCCGGTCAGAAAGGACACGGCAGCCATCTCCAAAGTCTCCTTTCTATGGGGCAGTTGTGCGTACAGGACGGCAAACCTAAATACAAAGCAACGGAAAACGGGACACGTTCGGGGCGAACGATTATCTTGGAAATGTTCTCAAGCCTCCGGCGAGCTACTAAATTCGTCTGTGACCTCGGACGGGGTCTCTCTCCGCATTGCCTCCGCGCAGGCTCCTTTCATAAGTTTAGGGATTTTATTCTCACGGCAAGGCTCGGGAGCGCTACGCCACCCCTTCGCCTTCCGAGACCGAGCGGGCGTTCGGGCGCTCCCTGGCCCTCGCGCCCCGGCCGGCTGAGTGCAGGGCTGACCGCGCCTCTGCGGAAGGCTGGGCCGTAGCGCCTGGCCGGTGCCACGGCGACCAGCAGGAAGGCGACACTCGGGCAAGGCCAGCCGTCTGGGGCTCCTCCCCGCCGCGGGCTCGCGAGGTCGCCGCGCGCCGACTGCACGCCGGGCCCGCCAACCTCGGAGGAACGCGGAGCGTGACCGGGAGCCTGAGGAGTGTGGCCGAGCGAAAGGCCCATTCCTCTGCCTGACAAGCCCGCAGGGGCGCCCAGGAGGCTCTCGGTTCCCCGGGGACACAGACGTCTCCAAAGCACGCGCAACCGGAGCTCCGGAAGACGCCGCTCTCGGGCTGCATGCAAATGAGGCGACTTTGCAGCTCTCGTCTGATTGGGCAAGCCGCAGGCTCGGCCTCGCGGAGCGGCCAATGGGGCTCCCGGACGGCACGGTGCCCGCACCCCATTGGTGGGCGCAGCATGCAGCGGCGCGCTCCCCGTATAAAATCCCTCCGGCCAGCGCCCAACTCGCAGTCCTGCGGCCGCGGCGAGCGGGGAGGCGAGGGGAGCGTTGTGCGTCGTTCGGCGCCGCCTGCAGCTAGCGCGCAGCTCGCGGGGCGGTGTCTTGCCCAACATCCAGGCCCTGCTGCTGGTAGGTCTCTCCCTGTCTCGTGCGTCCCTGACCTTCCTTGTCTTTGTGCGCACCCAGAGTCCCCGAGCCAAGGCGGACACACGAGCTGGCAATGGCCCTGGCCCCGAACTCCGTGTCTCTGAGGCCGGGGACGCCCGGAATCTGAGCCTCCGGGCCTCGCTGGGCTCCCCCCGCCCCAGGTACAACAAGCCTTACCGCAGGGCCTGTCTCTCTGGGCCGGTCTTCCTCTGTTTAGGAAGGTTGCGTGCCCCGTAAAACTTGGGTGACATCACTTTGTGGGCTTTTCTCCTGTGAATCTGCCTCTGTCACT